CTGATTAGCTAGTTGGTGAGGCAATAGCTTACCAAGGCGATGATCAGTAGCTGGTCCGAGAGGATGATCAGCCACACTGGGACTGAGACACGGCCCAGACTCCTACGGGAGGCAGCAGTGGGGAATTTTCCGCAATGGGCGAAGCCAGATTACAGGAACCTAATTCCACTAAGGATAACAAGGGCAGAAGACCTACATTTCTTAATCACAACCAGTATTACCAAATTTCAACTGGATGTTGAATGACAGCTCAGCTCACTCAAAGGAAAAATAGGAGATTATAACAAAATAATAAATGATTCCCTATTATCTTTTGAACCAATTTTATATTAAAATAAACTTAAAGTAATGAATGTTATAAGTATAGCAACTATTAAGACATGTATTTGGGAGAACTTTAGCTGTGCCAACATTTCTAGAACCTGGCATCTGAGAACAACTTTGGCTGCAGTTCTGGGTCTAAGCAACATGGATGACAATCCAGCCTAATACTAAAACATGATCAAACCGATAATGCAACTATGTTATGCTGTATGAACCTAGGCTGATTTGGTCACCATCAATGTTTTGATGGATGTTGGCAGTGAATAATTCCCTGCCCCAGTAGAATATATTCTCCAATGAGTTTCTTTCATTGTCATTGTTTGGAATTGAAAAAGAATCTACCACATCGATAGAGAGGCTTGACCAGTAAACTTGCTAAAAGTGGAATCAAATATAAACTTTAATGGACCAATACCAAATAATATGCCTTCTGATATCTTTTCTTGTGATTATAAGCATCCTATTTGAAGGCAGTATTCGTTGCATGAGACTAGAATTGTAAATAAAACTGAAAATTGGGATTTCAAGGATGCTGTGCAGCATATCAACCATCTGAATCTCAGCCACTGACTGTTCAGAATGATCAGTAATGGGGGGGGGGAAAGAAACAGAAACTTGACAGGTTCAGAGGAGTGGTGGTGGGCTGCCAAAGGGTAGACTTTTGAAAGAGAAAGCAACAGTACTAATGGAAAATTGGAAATTGATCATTGAATGGTATTGAAAAGCTTGGCTAATGTACTTGAGAGTTTCAGCCAAGGAAGAGAGATAACTCAGTTCCCAAACAAAACTAAACTCAATTCATACTGAGGAAAGTCAACAAACAGAACATAATTATTTCATATTCAGAACCTTGAGCAAGTACTAAGATGAATTTTGAACATACCAGAGCTTATAGTGATTGAGTTGAATTCAGGTTTGTGCTCAAACAATTGTTAAATTGTATAGATGCTCAAGAGATTGTTGAATACTGCAGCCTCCCAAAATAGCTGTCTTGCAGATGCCTTGGGATTATGATTTAGATTCAGTTCAGAATATTGAGTTCAATTCTAAAATATAGCAGTTACAAGAAACTATGCTTACAAGGAAAGAATGCAAGATTATAAGCCAGCAGACCAAATTATAAATGATAAAACTGTAACAAAATCAGATGCTCTTTGAATCACAACCGTGCATTGTTTTTACTTTTCTTTTCTTTTCATGGATGACCATGCATTTTTAGTGACAAACACCACAACACTAAAACAATAGTGCTTTTCATGTTTTTGGCAAAGAGAATGTATGTGGATCAGAAACAAAGTCTCAGAGACAAGGCAGAAGCTTGGATGTTATCAGAGCATCCTTGCCTGGTAGTGATCTCCTGAAAGGCACGAGAATGCCAAATCAGTCATTGAGAACCATATCCAAATACAGAAATTGTTAAAAGGAAAAAAAAAAAAGAACAAATAGACTGTCAAAACAGTCAGTAATTCTGGTCAATGAGATAAAAGATGACAGAGCAACACCATTACGCCTGCTAGGTTGCAGATGTGAGTTTCAACAACCCATGACAGCACAGTTGTAGACAAACAGACCAACATGCTCCTTTATATCAAGCATCTTCCAATCCAGTAACCCATTTTTGACACCCGACCTTGGACACCAAGAGCTTAACACAATTCCTTCTCCTTCTCGGCTTCTCTGCCCTCCTACAACTAGCAGTTCCTCCCCATAGGCCTTGAAAGCTAGGCCCCAGCCATTAGAAGAGTCAGCTCTGAGGGGGAGTCGTCCCAACACAGACCAAGTGTTCTTCTCCTTGTCATATTTCTTCACCATGTTGGTTGAGTGCTCGACTGCATAGAGTTGGTTATCCACTACTGCGACAAGTGGAGGTGCCTGAGATGCATTATTGACATTAGGGTACATACCCTCAATCTTCCTCCATTTCCTTGTTTGAAGATTATACTCCTCTCCACAAGTGAGTGATACATTGGGACTTGATATCCCACCAATCACGTAAAACTTTCCATCCATGAAAAAGCCAGAGCACAGCTTACGGGGAGAGTTCATATTAGGCAACAGCTCCCATCTACCTAACTTCGAATCATAAAGTTCTGCAGATTTCAAGACCGTCCCATTCTTATCACTGCCCCCTGCAACAATGGCAATTGAACCAGAGCTACTTGAACCGAACAAGCATCTTGGGAGGTTCAGTCCCTGGCACTTGACCCAATTCCCATGAACTAAACTGTACCTCCAAGTAGCAAAATCCAATAATTCTCGGCCAAAAACAAGCAACTCACTGCCCACAGCTAACGATTCCTTATCGGCATGATTGAAACATTCATCGCAGGGGATCTTGGGTAACCTCCTCCATTTCTTTCTCACGGGATCGAAAGCTTCCCATCCTCTTGGGTCACAGACGAGGTATACCTGGTGCTCAATGATACCTAATTGCTTTCGTAATCCAAACAAGTCGCCGCTTGATATCAAAGAATTAAATTTCCTGTTAAGGCAAGCTAGAGAAGCATGGTCTGATCGGCGAACTCGAGCAAGGCAGGTCAGAGCAATGTCAACATGTAGACCAGGGAGAAGGGAATCATATGATCTCTCACGGGTGAAGCGTTTGGAATCATCATAACCATCTTCTCCGCTGGATCTCGTCTTCATAACGGTTTCTTCTTGTTTTCTTCTTTCTTCGAAAATTATCCGAGGCAGACTCGACCAAATGCGGAAGATTGAACTGTTTCTTCGAACTATCAGTTTCTAGAAGCATGTTAACCAATCTATAGAACCTTTCCTGGTGAAGATTCTCATCTCAACCATAAAACCGAATGATCACACGGCCGACTCCTCCTCATCTCCCATTTTGCCACAGCACTGCGACTCCACTTCATTGCAATCCCAAGAACAAGAAAATTAAGCGCGGCCTTGGCTCACCATGTTTATCTCTGTAGTTGTCTATCTGATTAAAGCTTTGGCCCCATAATTGAATCGTTCATCAATTCTTGCTCAGTACATACTAGAATAGATAAACCGATCCATAGTTGGATCTAAGCCGAATCCATTGATAACCGGAGAAATGTATAGGTCGAAAAAAAAAATTAAAAGGTTGCGAAAGATATCCAAATCGGGTAATAAACAAGACGCTTGCCCAGAGGAATATCGGATTCAGGCAAGGTGCAGAGATTTCGGCAACGGATAAAGAGAAACACAGATAGCGAAAAGAAGGAGAGAGCTATGACGTTCTTGAGAAAACGAATTGGCAAGCAATAGACAGATGAATAAATTGAATTAAATAGCGATGGAATTATCAAGACTAGACAAAAGAAAATACCGCAGGGAAGGATGCCTGTCAGCCGGAAATCTGAGTAGATCGCGTGGTTAAGACTAGAGGATACAGCTTTTTGGTTCTTCTGGTGAAATTGTCACCGGATTCCGGCGGCAATCGGCATATGGTGTTCGGCAGGCAATATGACTGCTTAAGAACAAAGAATTTGACTGATTCAGGAACAAATGGAATTAGAAAAAGAAATGAAAGATAAAATAAAATACAAAAAAAAAAGAGAAAAAGGTCTCGAAGGAAAGAGAGAAAAAGGATAAACTTCGTTTACTCACTCAAATCAATTGAACCTGTGGATTTTGTTTCTTCCTTTTCTTTTTCTTTTTCTTTTCTTTTCTTTTTTTTTTTTCTTTAATTTTTCTCCCTCTGGCTGGCCTCTTCCCTCGTTGTTAGTTTGTTACTTCATTTCACCTGGTGGTTCGTTGAAAATACTGTGAACGAGTTAACCCTGTGGGTGAATTTATGTACGATCTCACCGTAGAGAGAAACACAGGGAGTTAGGACCATCTGGCCGTGGATCTAATCTCTTAGTCAATCAGACGAAAAGTCAAATTTGTATGTCAATCGGAATGAACAATACGGATGGTGGGCCATATCTGATATGATAAAGCCACGTTATTAATCTAATCCAGAATGAAGTATTATGACCTTGATTTGTGGAACAAAAACTTGAAAAACAGTTAATCTTAACCGTTGACAATCAGATGGGATGGCGGTACTTGTGTGTGATGGGGGCCAATGTGGCCCACCCAACCGAATGTGAGATCCCTGGCACAGAAGCGTCGGACATTAGTTTATCTAGAGAGTTCTGAGTATGTGTGTGAATTGTACACTATAGTCTCTAACCCGGATTTTCGGGGGGCCGGGGATGGAGGATGGACGGGACACTGATCCAGTTGACGCGCTTCTCCGAGTCAACTAGGCCATCACCCATCGTCATTTGATGTTCTAATCCGACTATTACCGAAAACCAAAAGGGGCATGATACAAAAAATACCAATGACCAATCAACCGGCATAAAATAAAAATGCAAACCAATCGGCTGGAATTTTTCAAAATTCACGGGGTCTGTGGACAAAGTTCTTCCTTCCGTATCATACCTGCCGGGTATGTAAAAATGATTTTTTACTACGATAATTGAGTTCGATCTTGATACCCAAAAAATTATGACCATTCAACCGGCATCATAATAGCGGTATTCATCAAGATTCAAGGAGTTTTTGATTGGTTAAAGCCTGATTTGGTCTGATAATTTTCTTTATTTATTTATTTTTTGTCACATTAGCAATAGGAACTTGATTTAAGGTCTAGTTTGATTTGAAAGAAAATATGAAAAATGAAGGAAAAGGTTGGAACAATGTTTGGAAAAGTATAAATGCAAATATGTAGTATAAATACATATAAAAGAATACAAAATATAAGATTTTGCATATTTATACTTCTTTCAAATTGAGTAAATGGTGCTACATAGGTGTCTTATCAGCAAAAGCCTCATTAATTATTTCTGTACGTATTTATGTGTATCCCATTTTTTGAGCTTCGAATAGACATTTATTAGCACTTTGCTAATGTGGTGGCTAATAGTGCCTATGTATCATAAATACCCACATCAATACCTTTTCTCGGTTTTGCAGTCACACAAAGACAAAACGCTTATTCAATAAATATAAACAAAACCAAATACACTTGTTATCTTTCCAAACTAAGCATAATGAAATATAAATACAAATACAAAGAGTGAAAAATCTTATATCGTGTATTATTCTATATGTTTTAGACAGTATATATTTATATTTATATTTTGCATTCCTTCCAAACTGAGTTTAATTTAGAATAAGTACAAATACAAATATATATAGGATGCAAAACCTTCTGTATTATATTATTTTATATGTATTTATATTCGTACTCTTTCCAAATTAAGCTGTAACCAAACACAACTACACAGCCAAGGCCATGATGCTAATATTAGTTTGTATTTTTTTTTTTTCTTTTCTTTTGTCCCCTAACTTTACTCCAGGCGGAAGGAAGGCCGGCTATACTTTTATTAAAATAAAGATCCAATATAGTTCAAGAACAAAGGGGAGGACATAGCCCGCCTTGCCCCTACCCACAACAGTGGAAACACTCTCTGAAGACTGAAACTCTCAAGCTCACCCAGAAAAAAAATGACAAAATTACACAATTCTAGGAATAGGGATACCCAAAAAATCATCACGGAAGAGGAATTTTGTTTTACTAGGTAATTGGGGAAATTCAGTAAAAATCACCTTGCTGCCTAAATCAATTCCCCAATTAGCTAGTGAGTCTGCTATTCTATTATCTTTCCTATAAACATGAGAAATGACAACATTTCTGTGCCTCAATAGAAATATTTCTTGCATATGATAGTGGATAATCTAAAGAGCTGTGTTCTTGTCTTTAATCAGATCCGCCCGTATTAATTTGTATTTTTTCTCAAAGCTCAATTTGGAAGAAATGCAAATACAAATATGCACAATATAAGACGTTGTATTTTATATTATTTTATATATATTTATATTGTACAATTTGTATTTGTACTCTTTCCAAACTGAGCCCAAGTTTCCATCTCCTTCGATCAGTTGATTAGTCCAGACAGCTGAGGAGTTTAATTAATGCAGACGTGTAGCAAATGGATGTGCAGGGATTTGGGATCCAATATCATTATCAGACAGATGGGTGGTCTTTTATTGATTGATAGCCTTAGTTGTCAATAGGTTGGGTGGTGAATCAGTCCCAAACCGAACCAATAATTAATGTGCTCTATGATAGAACCCAGAACCGAATTAACTATCAAGTGGATAACCGGGTCTCATTGAACCCAATTATACTTTTTATATCTATAATTACCTGTGATAATAATAATTTGAAACCTTATTTTCGATACATAACTTTAATCAAAATTATACTAAATAATAAATTATTTATATATTTATCAAAACTAATCAATTCAGGTCTTAATTGATTTGAAATACAAAGAACCGATCCTGACTCCCTAACCCAATTATTAATTGGGACACAAACAAAAGGATTAGGATCACCATAACCAATTTCAGTCGGTTGAATTCCATTAGATAAACCCGACCCGACCCATTGACAGCTCAAGATGGCCTTGCAACATATTTGGCCATGTGGCTAATTCTACCTTTGCCAAAACTTGATGAATTATGGAGATAGGTGATACTTATAACCCCCTTAAAAGTAGTTCTAAACCTAAAATATAGTATATTTAGCCATGTGGATTACTAAATATTCCATCATAATGGTTTATCCAGGAGGACCACGACGAAGTACTGTCTAACATAAACACGTAACTGTCTAACATAAACACGTAACCTATCTCCAATCTCTAATTCTCTATGGGTTGCAACTTGCAGTGTGGAGGACATTCGGTCAAACTGATAGATATTGTATATATTCCTTTTGGATGTGTTAAACTCTCTTTCTAAATCAATGGACTGGGCCCGTGGGCGGTGGGCCGATCAACTTACAGTTCCGGTTTGCCCACGCCATCACCTTGTATTGCTACACTACAACACCTCTCCCACCCCAATCCAACGGTTTTGAAAACGACGCTTCACTCGTATTCTTTGTTGCCACTTGTTTATTTGGTGCAACTTGGACGATTGGACCGGATAAGCCTACACCATTTTCAAAACAATTGAGTTAGGTTAAAAAGTTTAAATGGCATAGGGCATCCGTCGTGGGCTTCGCAAACCGAACCCAATTCAACTTATTAGTTGGGTTATTTAAAAGGATGGAAAGCTAAGAGTATTGTAGTTTATTTATCAATCAGTTTTTATTCTTCTATTGTATGAAAGAAAAAAAAAAAAAAATAGATGATACTTGCAGTATATAATGTTAGGCCATGTTTGGTTTACTGTTTTAGGTAAAAATGGGTAATAATAAATAATATTAGAGTGATTGGTTACAAAATTCTTGTCAAGAGTTACATTTTTTTTATAATGAAAAATCAATTTTTCATAGCACAATTGAGTAGCTTGTAGCATTAAAAATAATCATGCCCCATCTTGTTTATTTCATTTTTTGAGGAAATTCTGCCTACAAAACTATTGTCATAAATGTTGACTTTTGCGAAAGCACTTTTATAAAATTACTTTTACATGAAAGCACTTTTATGAATCCACTTTTACGAAAGCATTTTTATTAAAGTACTCTTACATGAAAGCACTTTTAAGAAAGTACTTTTATGAAATCACTTTTTTGGAAGTACTTTTACAAAAGTACTTATATAAAAGCACTTTTACGGAAGTACTTTACAAAATCACTTTTACGAAAGTACATTTATCAAATCATTGTTACAAAAATACTTTTACAAAAGCACTTTTATAAAAGCACTTTTATGAAAATACTTTTATAAAAGCACTTTTATAGTAGTACTTTTTATAAAAGCACTTTTACGAAAACACTTTTGCGGAAGTACTTTTATAAAACTTTTATGAAAGCACTTTTACAAAAACACTTTTACGAAATGCTTTTATGGAAGTACTTTTACAAAAACACTTTTATAGAAGCACTTTTAGGGAAGTACTTTTACAAAAGCACTTTTAGGAAAGTACTTTTATAAAAGCACTTTTAGGAAAGTACTTTTATGAAAGCACTTTTATAAAAAGACTTTTACAAAAGTATTTTTACAAAAGCACTTTTACGAAAGTACTTTTGCGAAAGCACTTTTATGAAATCACTTTTATAAAAGGACTTTTACAAAAACACTTTTAGGAAAATACTTTAAAGAAAGTACTTTTATTAAAGCACTTTTGCAAAAGTAGCTTTACAAAACATCTATTCCAAGTGGTAAACATTGATGGTTGGAGACCTAGGCTGGTGGTTTGTGAATACCGACATAATTTTTTTTTTGAAGAATGAAATTGAGCAACATATAGGGCATTTGTCGGTGTGGAAAGAATTTATTTTTAGGAATAAACTGTTTGATTCATAGTAATATTTTCTCATTATGTCTATTTTTATCAATTCTTTTTCATTTTAGAATTTCATCTCGCTAAAATTGAGAATTAAACCAAACATAGCCTTAATATATATTCGGTACCGGAGTCATTTTCTCCAAGTTGTTTCTGTCATTTTGCTCTCTCTGTCTCATTTGTCTTGTTTGGTTGAGTGTTTTCAAGTTGTTTTCAGCAACAGTGAATACCTTGAATTATGTGAGAGCAAATTTAGGAGAAAATACCATTTTATTATTTCTTGCAATGAGAATAAGGTTTCATCTCTTTGCCTATATGGCACCAAGCTGGCATCAAATAACTCTAAAGTATGCACAAATCCAGAATTACTTTATAAAATTCTAAGGGATGACCATTGTTTGAGAAAATGGCAATGACATCAAACATCGC